GCCGTCTCACACCACTTAACGGTTATGGTACAATGTGCTCACTTTTACAAAAAATATGACCCAATTGAGACAGAAAAAAACTTGAGGACCCAAATGAGATTTTCATACAAACTTGAGGACCAAGGGAGGGTTTAAACCTTAATATTATTAATGTTTATGATATTGAATAAGTTGCTTCATTGATCTCTGTCGCAACCGGGATCACGACGGGACGGCGAGCCGAAAAACAAAAGGGTTTGAGAAAAAGGTTTTGGAAGTCGCCACCATAATTTATTATGGAAAAACTATGGAAAACCAAAAAATAAGACATGGTCTGTAAAAAGTAGATTTTTAGGTTCGGGAATCGGTTACGCGTAAGGAAGGTGTTAGCACCCTATCGCGCCTGCCCAAAGGCAGTACCTTTAATTAAATGTAAAAAAGGTTGATGTGGTTTTTTTAAATGTTTAATTTTCCCTAAAAAAATAATATAAAGAAACTATTAAGAGACAAAAAAAAATTTTTGTTTTATGAAACCTTGGTCCTACGTACATCCATTTAATGGACAATCAGGATCACGTAGTTCTTTACGTAGAAAAAGGTTTGTGAGTTAAAAAAATTATTATTGATTGATTTAGATTTTTTTTGAAAAAGAGTGAATCCGAACAAGATTTGGTTTAAACAAGATTGACATCTTTTTTGGTTTTGAAGATTTTGTATTTTTTTATTTATTTAAAAATGGTGGAAAAAAGAAAGAAGTCGACACATACTTAAAAAAAATTATGATTTTAAAAAGAAACATTATTTGTGTATAAAAAAACATACCTTTTAGAAAAAAACTTCAGAGTACAATAAAAAGAGAAAACAGACAGAGGTGACATACCTTTTTAGCTTTCAGGATTCCCCTAGTTCTCCCCTGGTAATCTCTTTTGGCAGAGTTCCTCTGACCTGAGAACTTACTTTTCTCTATATTCTTCTATAGTGTTGCTATCACTATTATTTCAAAATATTTATATACACATAGAATTAAGTGATAATAACTGATGCAACAAATTATATTTTCCTCTTTAAAAATAACTGATGCAACAAATTATGTTAATATACTATTTTAATTATTGTTTATAATTATTAGCATAATATTAATTCAAATCATTACCATATTAAACTAACATTTCAAATATTAAAGTCATCATTTTATCCCTTTTTACCCACCATTAATTATTATTATCTTATTTTTTATTATTTTTAAATATTTACTTACCTGCTGACAATCTCAATTGTCAAATTTTCAGTTTATTTATTTTAAAATTGAAAGGAGAGGAATGTCCCTCATTTAAAAAACTTAATAAGACAACATTTTAAAATGAAATCAATGCTATGGAAATAAATTATTGTTTAAAAAAATAACTAAATGAAAATAATTAGGATAATTTATTTAATAAACGAAGCCTGAAAGATTAACTCCGAGTAATAATATTACAATATCGTATTTTTGTTAATTTTAAAATATCACACTTAGAACAATTTCACCTGCCTAAACATACATTTATTTGCAACCTCTATCCGTGTGGTCACTCCAGCAACATTTTTTGGCAAGACAATGTAATCTTTTCTCTCAATCTTGTCGGAAATACGATCCAAGAAAAACATATTCAGGTGATTTTTTCGTTCAAAATGTAATCTTTCACTATTTTTATGATTTTTTTCTTTATCTTTTTGGATGTAGACAAAAATATTCAAATTAAAGGACTAAAGAAACCATCAATACACGCTATACCTATAAAGGATGAGAGACACGAACAAGACACCCACTTTGCTGCTATCTCAGCATGCAACAACATCAAATTCGAATACTAAATTGATAGGTCTTACTTTTTTTATATCTTTGTACGATAAAGAGCTATAAAAGCAAACCATTTCAGCGCACGTTTCTTGCACATAAGAGAAATAGGATCAGAATCAGAAGTGAGGCCAATGAGTTTGTACAAACTCTCTTCAAGAAATGATTTTGTCTTTAGCTTAACCAACAATTCCCAGATGACATGCTTTTCCATGGGAAACAACAAAGCATGGTTTTAAGATCACATGTTTATCATATTTTTACAATTCTGATACTCCATACAACTAAGAACAGTATAATAGTTCAGAAAAAGAAGTGGTTGTCAAAAGATAATTTTGCTACATAGTTATAAAAATTATGACAGACAAAGGTAGATGGAATAAAAGTCAACGCCTGAGAGCCTATAGATAGATCCCTAGTTTAGGTTCATCACCATGCTGAAGCTATTTGGCACTGCTAAGGCCATTATTAAAGTATGGACAGTTGGAAAGCTTCTTATCACACATAGGGGGAGGCACCCCATTTTGTCTTCATTCTTGAAAATCACACTGTTGGCTATGGACAAAGTAAAACACCAATATGTAAATGTATTAAGTATGATTTAGATGTGCATTTTACTGAAAAAAAATAAGATTACATGGTATAACAGGAATTGCTTCATTAGAATGATCATTCAAAAACATTTGTAAAATGAATTACTCGATAAAATATATGTACATTTTATTCAAAGATAGAGTGATTTATCATGATGAAATTATCAATATGCTGTTACTTTTCTGAGTGACTTTTGTTCATTATAAAGCAGAACAGCAGAAGTTTCTTAAGCCAAACTTTAAAAGTTTTGCTACTTGGTAAGAAGTACTATTAGAATACATACACTGCCTACCGTGTACAGTTTTGTTCTTAACGATCTAGATAACATCGAAAAAATGAGTTTCATATTGAATAAAGTCCACAAAAATGAAAGAGTATTTAAGAAAAAAACAACATTTTGCATTCTCTGGCTACATTTTTACAGAAGTTCTCTAAGCCAAGGATCCACTTTACATTTGACAGTCCAATGAACAAACAAGCACCCCATCATGGAAGTAAATTCACATGTGACTCATATTTCTCCTCTCCCCTTAAATTTTTCTTTTGAAATTAAAGTAAATTTAATAGTTATATAGTACAAATTGAAGCTTACTTACAATCCCTCAACTAGATTAGAGAAAAAACTAAGTCTTGTCAGAAAATTTCAGGCAGAGGCCTATCTTCCAAGAATGACTTGAACAAAACAAATGATCTTTCAGGCTGAGAGAAAGGGGCTTCATGAGAGGCACCTCTGACAGTAGCAAATGAGAGGATACTGCCATAAACTTGAGTCCATCCACCAACCTAAACAAAAAATTTGTAAACTCACATCAGTTCATGATGTATATATATTAAACAAGTTGGATTATATTTTATAGTCTTTTACTTCCAAGAGAAAAAAAAATGCTTCCTACCATTATCTTGCAATCAGATATAATATAACAAGCTTTAAGCAAGATGTTAAGTAGTATTAGTATGTACCTGTTGGCCTTCAAACCATACTCTGTAGGGGACTGTTGTATTCAGTCCTAGTTGTCTAGCCAGCTTTTGAACTAAGGTGCGGCTTCCAGTCAGTGGAATTACTGAATCTTGATCTCCACTATAGTGAAACAGAACATGCTTATGTTAATTTGTACATGGTATTTGAAAAGCATACATATGAACTTTCAAGTTCAAGTAACTGAAGCAAATACAATCAACACGGAGAAGGAAATAGTTTTGGTCTAGTTATACCTGTAAATTAAGACCCGAACTCCAGATTTTATGAGTGATCCAACAACAGGGAGTGTAGGTTTCTCCAGGTTGAGCATATCATAGTTCAAAATGCTGTTGCTAACACAATGTCACAATACATGTTATTGGGATTGGTAATATTTTCAAAGTAACTTTACTATGATTACTTATCTTTCATGACCAATTAAGCAAATCCATTAGGGTAACCAACTAGAACGATGAATGATAAACTTTCTTTTTCCATTTTGTTGAGTTTTGAAGAAATTACTTGCTGCAGACATCCCATTTTCGGACTCCGACAAGCTTGGCATGGAGCGCCTCTTGTACATCTTTTCGGTTCAAGTAATTAGTAACTTTGTCATCTACACATACATCTATGCTCTCATTTGTTTTCTGTTTGGCAAGAGGCATCAAGTTCTTTAAGATATGATGAAAAGTCAATTTGAAAAACGAAATAACCAGAAGTATAAAAGGTAAAAGGTGATATAAGAAACTATTAGAAAGTGGTTTGAAGCTTAATTCAATTTCACAAAACCGGCTTGTAAGGTGAGGTTTGCACCCCACTTGTATATTATAATTTGACCTTATCTCTAGTGGATGACACTTCCAAAAAACATCCATTAAGAAAGAAAAAATGAGAAAAAACTCACTTGGCCTTGAGGACAAATAGCTTTGGATTGTGAAAGCACTGATGAAATGCAAACATCAAGGGTGACATCATATTTGTCCACAAACTTACTGGTTTCTCTGGCTACTTGCCTCAAAACTTTTGAACAAAGCGGAGAAATCGAGTCTCTGTAGTATTCACTGACGTACCGGGAATAGTTACAGCCTGTAGTGAACAATTTGTACGTTGAATCAGATATCAAACCGTGAGACCAGAAGAACTCGGCCCTTGAATTCAAGTCAGTGGCATATTCTAGAACTGGGTTACCCAACTGCAATAAAAGAGACCAGCTTGGCATTATGCATTGCTAGAAATGTCCTAAAAGAGAACCATGGTTGATAAATAAATGGTGTTTTTGTTACTTACGGCGATGCCTTTCAGATTGAATAACTTCTCCTTTTCGTTTATTTCAATCATGAGCTTTGCAAGTTGTGGAACATAATGCCCTGATGTTTTTTGATAAAGAAAAGTGTGTAATAACCGATAATAGCGATTGTTTAATGCGTAACTGGCATTTAGAAATTTGAGTTCTTCTAGAAATGATGACTGAACAGTGACGTGGCATGCATACCTGCATAGCTTTCACCTGCTAGAAACAGATCTCTGTGCCTGAATTGAGGGAACTTGTTGAACCAGCGTTGCAAGAATACAAGATTGTCCCTGGCTTGAGAAATGAAAATTACTGCTTCAGGAGACAGAAGGGAATAATGGCTTTGTGTATTCAAGGACTGTGATGTTGAAATAAGAACAATAGCATTCTAATGTAAGGACAAGGGATGAATAAACAAAGAGAGTACATCGTATCATGCAAAAGTTGTGTCGCATTTTTAGCACTAATTGCTGTTTTGTCTCAACTTTTTAAAAGCCTAAACATAGAGTACGTTCCTTTTTTGACAGAAGATATGATTTAAAGAAGCTTTCTAAAGAAGAGCTTATTTGTCTCAAAAGATTAAAAAAATAATAAAATGAACAAAGTTCCAAAGCAATTGATAATGGAAGGTAGATTACCTGTTGTCTCATCATTCAGAGTCTCATAGGAAGAGCCACCTTTAGCATAAGAGAACCCCACTCCAACTGGTGTCTCCAAATACAAAATGTTTGTCTCTGCATTACAATGTAACTCTTATCATATTGGAGCAATTCTTGCACTTATAATGGAATGATCAGTGCCTCCATGGATTACCTCTGTTCCAACTGTACTCGTTTTTAATCAGAACTTCCCCATTTGGTCTAAAAGGTCCATTTTCAGAGAATGCACCCACTCCAAGAGAAGAACAGCCAGGTCCTGTACAAAACAGAAATTAGCTTATACATTTAATGTCTTTCTAGAAAATTTTAAAAGCATATTCTGAAACTAAATGCTCTATATTCTACACTGATTATGCATATACTTTTTATCCAAAGTCTTGAACTTATTCTGATTTGCCAGTGTTACATAACTATAGTTGTACCAAGATAGAGATTGCAGACCTCCATTGAGCCAGAGAACAAGAGGCTTTGAAGATGGATGAGTTTCTGATTCAACAAAATAGTAAAAGAGAGCTTTGTGTTTGAGATCATCCACTGTAACATATCCTGAGAACTGTTGGAAGCGTGTGTTGGGTTGCCCGGGAAGCCGAACAATTCTATCTGCATGATTAGAGAGACAGAAAATCTCCAAGGAAAAGCTCAATTGAAGCAACACCACAGTCACTGCCATGGTTTTCCATGTTGGCAAGTTCTTCATTTTTCACAAAAACGGAGAGAGAGAGAGAGAGAGAGTAGGACTAAGGCAAAGCAGTACCAGAAAGAGAGAGAGGTGTGTGCTGCTTTTAAACTGGTACAGTGTTACTGAGTATTTACTGCATGAGGTTAATTGTGGGCCACTTAGTGATTGGGAGCTGCTTTTAAATTCATTCTATGATTACAGTTCTAGCTTTATCATGTTTTTTGCTTGCAGGCTTGCTAGAAAACGGTGTTGAAAGTGATGTATGAGGGGTATAGATCTTAGTGTATCGAGTCTGTCTATACTGTGAAGCAAAAAGAAAGTTGTATACATTGTTGGGCCTCCAAATGCTATAAGAGTCTGTTTATAAAGCTTGCTGCTATGAAAAAGAAATTAGCTATTGGAATGTGGGCTACCTTGAGAATTACAGTCTGTGAATCTTCTTTTAGACTTGTAGTTCTACTTTTAGTGTTGATGCATCAAGCATAAATACCTTGTAAGTTGTAACCTTTTTTGTTTTTTTGTTTTACCACACACCAAGAGGGCGGTGTCTCTTTCATTCTTTAAAATTTGAGTTAAAATTACTAATGTTTTATATTTTATGATTACAAAAAAAAGTAACTCATTTTTTCTGCATTCTGAGTCACCAGAGAATATGAGTACTTAGCACCTTGGGGATATTGCAGGTTGTATGCAGAGAGATACACGGTTTGTTTTTGGTTTTCCCGAAAGCTTGTTTGATTGATGAACTTTTCTTGATCAACAAGTACGGGCAGGATTTTGCACAGCTACAAAGTGGTTACAGTATGGAGATTCCAAGGAAAATTTAACAATCCTACTCTTGTAATTGACCACTATATCGTAGGATGTCAGAGAAGCTAGTGATATAATGTTCTCAAATACATCATTGACCATCAATTTTTTCTTTAAGGATGAATCATATACTTGCCACTTATTTTCTTTTCTACTTGTCTTCCATGCACAAAGTTTGGTGGGATATTTGAGGACTTAGTAATAATAAGCTTGATGATGAGATTTCCCTCAGAACCATACTGTTGAAACTTGAATGGAATGGATTTGAAATCCAAAGGGGAAATGAAATGAGGTGGTTAAGGACTTTTCTTTATGTTGTTATGTGGGGATGAACTGGTTTCCTTTGACCAGTTGTGAAAAGGCTTTTCTCATAATGATAGGGCAAACCTTGATTCTTTTCTTTTCCTTTTCTTCCAAACCTTTTTGTCCTGGTTATACAAAGCAACTACCCTCCAACATAAATAAATCACTTCTCTTTTTCTTTTCATATACAAACTCACATGCCAACTTTTTCATTCTTCAGGGGGGCCTCCCTCAATTCATCACTTCACCAGCTGTGTTAAATCAATTTATAGATCTTTATGATATCATTGGACCCTATATATATATATATATATATATACACACACACACACAAGTACTCTTAGAACTTAGGAAAAAAGGATGGTCTGATCATAATGTAATTGCAACCAAGTCTAGTCACTGAAGCACTGTATTTACCAAAGTAAGGAAGAAAAAACATAAGAAAGTGGTATAAGCATTAGAACAAACAAGCCATAAAAAGACAAATATGATATACATATATGGTGGGGTTGTGTTATATATATGCATGCAGCTCATAGAACTGGTAAAGGAGAAAAAAAGGGTCCCTACCTTCATAGCTTTTGCAGAAGGCTTCAGATTTTTCATCATTAGCTGCACTATAGTGTCACTGGTGTATGTGTATTGACAACTTTCTATCAACTCTCAAACACGAATTCTAGTCCCAGCTAACACCCACCCGCTTCGGTGTTCGTTCTCCATGCTTAGGGAAATTTATGTGACATCAATATGGCTTAATATTATAGTAACGTGAAACGGTGGAAGTGGTTAGTAGAGTTTTGGAGTATGATAATGTGTTGCAGAGTAGAAAAGGAACTGCTCTTACTTTGTTCAATCTTTTGGTTTTCTAAACGTAAAAGATGAGAGTGGAGAAAAAAGCTGATCCACTTTTACTATTTAATTACAATTTCCTTCTTTTTATGATCTGGGGTGCTATCACCCTCCACCATGATAAAACTGTAGATTCTATTAGGGGGAGTGTCTTCAACATTCACGAAAACCCCTCTTTTCGTAACGCCGTCTGAACCGGTTAAGACTAACCATCGGTTAACTAAGGAGACATCATAGCAATGGGCCTAAAAGACATTAATATCATTCTTAATCTAAAGTATTAAGAGAATAGATTAATGGATGTTTTTAATACGGTGTTCCACTTTCTCACAATTTTGTTTGTTTCTTCCTAGGTTCCAAATTCCAACTATGGACTCTTGAGTACGAATAGAAATAGAAACCAAAATCAAGCACACTAAAATTAAGTTTTAAATTTATGAAAAAAATTATTTACCCTTAATTTTTATAAAACAATAAGTCTTTCAGTTTTAACCACCATTTACATTGTAGTTTTAGTTTGATAAAAATATGTTAATAAGTTAGAAAGAGGAGGAGAGATATAAGACTGTCCTTAAGGTTTTTAATTGAATAGGATAGGAAATAGTATGTGGTTTGGCATATTAAGTTATTTGCTGGTAGGCACAAAAGAAAAATTACATTAAATCCTAAAAGAATGAACTGAGATATTATGATTCGACTATAGTGTGAAAAATTCTTACTTCCATATGGCCAAACTCCCAAAGGCACTAGACCAATCCAAAGGATTCGAGGCCAACCACCAGATCGATTACTAGATCTATCACTTAAGTTGATCATCCAAACAACATGGTTGATGAGACACAATATGATCATATTATTAGCGATAATGACTCATTAAGATCCTAAAGTAGATTAAGATGTGATTGAGCGATTTTTAGACCAACAAAATATAAAAGTTCATCATAACTAATATAAATAATGACTTCAAGATCATGCACACAATATGTATCTTTAGTCATTCGAACTGTCACCTACTGATTTAAGAATCAAAGTGTCTTCTACAAGTACATTCCCACATGTTGTGAATGAGCGGAACAAAATGTAGTCGAGCTTCCCAACAGCTTAACTAGTCTCCTTAATAGCCATCCGGTATGCTATAGTGCTTAATAAGTCTCTTGTATGTCCTGCTCAGTCTGTTGCAATGCTCGATCAGCCTCCTGCATGTCCTGCCTGGTCTGCTATAGTGCTCGGCCAATCTCCTGCATATCCTATTGGTATGCTACAGTGCTCAACCAGTCTCTTGCACGTCCTGTTTGGTATTACAATACTTAATCTGTTGGGAATCCAAGTGTTATTATAAGTCCCATATTGGATAGAAATGAGAAAGTAGAGCATCTTATAAAGATGAAAGACTCATTAACTCATTGTTTTAAGATTTTGAATAAAGAGTGACGTCAATCATTTATATAGTTGACTCGAATGTTATTAGTGTTTGTGTAACACAGGAACCTCCCCTCACCTCAACCATGTCCAATTTCAAATTTGGCCTAAAATCCAATACACTACCTTTTGCATTTCACAAGAGAAAGAATGGTGTGAAAAAAGATAAACGGATTGAGAAAAGGAAAATGATATAGTTGAAGTTCGATACATAAATTAAAGTCAAAATTCATTCAAAGCAATAGCTTCACCTTTTACCTAATGTCTCAAACAGCACTTAAACATCATCGTATAATTAAAATTCATATATAAATAGCTAAAATGACAGAACCAATAATTAATTTTGTCTAAATTTTATATTGAATAATATAAAATGTTTAAGAATTTAAATGAATTTAAGTCTTATATTAGATAAAGAAAATTGAACATCATCTAAATTTATTTTTATAAAGTTTTTATAAATAAATTTGGAGGTATGAAATTAAGAATGAAGAAAAATCTCAATGTACTTTTATCATAGTGTTTATAGCTACCGAATTATATTAAAAAGCTTAAGAGAAACAAACAATTTGAAACCGATAGAAGGTAAAATGTTTTTTTTCTTATAAAATAATAAATATTCGGTTTTTGTTTTCATTTTATTTAATTATTATATTTTATAACGAATCTAGATTTTCTGTACTTGATTTTTGGTACCAAAATTTTTATTATATACTGATATTAATATATTAAAAAGTTTTTTATATATTATAAAATATGAAAATCAATATTATAATCAATGGATTTTAAATATACACAAAAAGAAAACAATATAAAAAATTCAGAAAAATCCAAATATATTTTATAACTTCTAAATACATCATATTTAATCCAAGTTCCTGTCTCGATTAGCTCAGAGCATCCTTAATGTAATGAGAGTTATTGACAAATTGCTTATCTGGTTTATGGATGAAAGTGCTACAAGTTAGTAAATACATAATCAACATAATATACCACCACAGCATGTAAAAGTATTTGCGTGATGTCAAAAATGTTATATTTTATTTTAAGAGTATTTATTTTTATAAAAAAAATTAATATTTTATTTTACGATTAAATATATTTTTAACCTCATGTGAAATAGATGTTAATACGATTTATAAGTATCATATCTCAAGATTTAGGTCTCTCACCTATTAAATTTAGGATTATTTTCTATTGAGTTTTTCATATTTTAAAATGTCACTCTTGTAAGAAAATAATCCATATTTTATAACAAATCTAAATTTTGTTACAAAAGACATTAACATCAAAAAATAAAAATCAATTAAGTCTTTTTTAAAATTAGGGATTCATTAAGTAAAATAATATATATATATATATATATATATAATATGACCAAAATGAATTATAAGTATAGTACATTTATAATTAAACAAATTAAATACATGAATGTTGATTGAAACTATAGAAATGTGATGGTTGAATATCACCTCATAATTTCTCTACAAACAATACCACACAATACTGTTTGTCGAACTATTACCAAACCTATAATAATGAAATAATTCAAGGTTTTATCGGTTCAACGGTACAAATTTGGTTGAATAATTATAATTACATTACTTTATTTCTAATGTGATATTCTGAATGAAAAAAAACAACAAAATAATTATAATTTCATTAGAAAGAATGCTGTTGACTGAAGAATTTAAGTTAGAGCATGCTGCTGTTTAATTTCCAATTTGAAAGAGCAGAAAGAAAATTAAGCACTTGAATATGAGAAAAAGGTAACATCACCTAATATCATTCCCTACAAAACCAAATGAGACGCTTATGATTTGAAACAAAAATAAAAGGCTTTTGGGCAAACCAATTCTACGAAATATGAAGTTGAAGAAAATCACAATGGAAAAATAAACAAATGATTAAGCTGATTCAGCTGTTTTAGCTGATTCAGTTGCATTGTTTTGGTCCACTTTTTTCTCTTGAACCAGTTTCTCTATTAAATCAGCTGCTTCTTGAACTGTTGAGATGTTCTGAGACCCATCCTCCTCAACATTGATGCCAAACTCCTCCTCCAAACCCATCACTATTTCCACCTGCCACAACATTACAACAACATGAATTATTTAT